TGTACAAAAGTTTCACGTTTCAAAATATATTCATTCTGTTAAGGAATAAAAATGATGATCAATGAAAGCTATTTAACGATTTTTATTAAAATAGACAATGAATGAATTAAAGAATATGGCATTTAAGAATCAAATATAAAACCCGTAAAGAGGATAGGTAAAGAGGTAGATACAAAAATGGGCCAAAAAATTATAAGACGACGGAACTATTGCAAAAAAGAGCAAATATTGTAACATCGTTTCCATGTAGGTGTGTAAATAAGTAGGCAGAAACGATAAGTATCGTTTTTTCATTCCAGTTAAACTCCCAACACAATCACACGAAAATAAAAGAGATATCGGTCGGAAGAGGTTAAAATAAAACTTATTGAGGTCGAAGTGTCTCTTATTTTCAAAAACTGTGAATGCTGAGGAGGCTACTTATAACTTCAAGATTATCACAACGGGTGCAGACAAAATAAATTATAATCTTAGCGAAAACAGATTTGCATTGTAGACGTTTCTTTCGACATCTCTGTAACAATATGAAACTGAGAATTCAGGTCAAATATAGTATCTTAGAGTTAAATCGTGCGAATAAAGGATAGCCATTTGCTCCACATCCAGCGATTGGATTGAAAACATATAATCGATGGCTTTTGTTTTAATTTAAACGAAATTTCTTCCATTCTAGAAATAGAGAGAATCACATTAGAGGTTTCCTTATTGAGCATTGATGTATTATTTACAGCAATTCCAATAGTTTATTAACTAAATAGATCTTCTATTGAATTTGATTGTATAGAACAAGAAATATAGAGGGATTTAAGATGTTTTATATACATTATATTTTAACTTAGAAAGTTTGAAGTTATTTTTTCAACAAGCACTAAGTCCTAATTCACCATCGTGTGGTATTTTTGCGAGCCGTACTGGAGTCCTTGACACACATGTCTTCTCTATCAATTTACTGAAGAAAAATCAAATCTCTAGCATTTATATATGTACCGTTGATAAATTGAACAAACAACATTAATTGGATAATCCAAAGTCTCTTTTTCATTCAATAAGTACATAAACTGACTCTTTTGTTTACAACAAACACCTCTTTCAATTATCTTCACCTAAGTTCTGCAGAATTGACCTACAAACCTGAAACAATCTTTACGAATTCCTCGATAAAAATCTTCACACTTATAATACGGAATATTAATATTGGTTCGTTTATCTATTCGCTATATAATATACATATATTTGTATATTCTATTAAAGTGTAATGTTATATCTATAATATATCAAATAAAAATGATATAAAAAGAGGAGTAAAGAAAGTTAAAGTGAAAGTAGATGAGGATTATATTTCAAGGTATCAAAAAGGTGTAGATATATATTTAACAATTTAGGCATATAACAAGTCGACGCTGACGCATTGGCAGTTAAGCCTCATATAAGCGGTACAAAAAAATTGAAGAATCAAAGATAGCAAATAAGAAAAAGAAAAAAAGACAGAAAGTAAAGGAAAGAAAATTCAAATTTTTAAAATATATATATATATATATTAAATGTTTTGAATTTGTTCAAATATAATATAAGATGTTGAAATTGCTAGTGAAAATTGGAGTCAATTTGATTATGTTCTGTCTTAATGGAATCCATCGTGGTTCAACCGAAATGGAAAGAGATTGTTACCAGGCCAGGTCTTGCCAAAAATAAGCCTGGCAGTGGTTTCGACCTTGCTATTTGATCGCCATACCAATCTCTTAAACCTTGGTCAAATTGTTAAATAAAAAGAAATAAGTGAGAAGGGAAAATATTTTGTGGGAGGGGAGATTCAGAAATCAGTGTGTGTATACCTGTATGTGTGTACTTGTTTTTGTGTTTGTGTATGTATGTGTGTGGGTTGTGTGTATGTCTGTGCGTGCTTGGGCTTATGTGTGTTCGATTTTGTTTGCACTGACATCACAATCATGGGTTCGACATACCAAGAATGCATAGGTGTGAATGCTCTAACTTGATATCCAAATATTTGTGTATCTGTAATATTGTAGACTTAATACACACATAAATACAAGCACACAAAGACACACACACAAACACACACATACACACAAACACACACGAACATACTGGTACATACATACATAAGGGCACAGACATAAACACTGAGTCCCGAACCCCCCACCACCAACATTTTTGACCTTCTACTTTATGTATAACAATTTGACCAAGGTTGAAGAGATTGAAATAGCGGTCAAATAGCAAGGTCGAAACCGCCTCCAAGCTTATTTTTTACAAGACCTGGCCTGATACCAATCTCTTTCCATCTCGCTTGAACCATTATGGTTTCCATTAATACAAAACATAAACAAATTTACTCCAAAATTTGCACTATCAATTTTACAATAAGTTATATTAAATATTAAAAAGTTATAAGTTAGATTATATATTTTAAAAATCCGAAAAATTTAAAAATACATTTAAAATGTTTTATTTTCTTATTACTTTTATTAGTTTGATAAATTGTCAACATGGTTCTGCTTATATAGCTCGTAACTGTCGAGGCTTCAGCGTGAATTTGGTATAGCCCTAATTTTTTTTATTAAATATAAAACCTTTTAATACCTGTGGGCGGCATGATTTTCTAAGCGGAGTCAGATAACAAATTATTTATTGTAAAATCAACTTTTAATTACATTTATTTAATACAAATTATCAGAAGTATTGTTGTATACTACATGTTGAAGTGCTTTTTGTGTGGTCAAATATCATTTCTAGATTATAAAATGTTAGATATATGTGTTTGATATATTATAGATAAATATTTACATTTTATATGATTTATGATTTATATTCAGAATGATGTATAATTATTTTATTATATTAATATGACAACAAATAATATGATATTAATGTTAATTTATTTAATTTTAATAAAGTATATTTTATGAGCATTATATATTTATAAGATGAATAATTTAATATTTGAATTAAATAGTTATTAAACAAATTAAAACTTATAATGAAAATATGAAAAGTTAATATTTGGGAGCCGCTACATACCTTATAATATAATCCTTATTTACTTTAACACACAATCTTTACTCCTCTTATACCATTTCTCTTTCATATATATTATAGATATAGCATTTCTTTAAAATTATAGTTTGGTAATAACTTTCTATACTGACACTATACTTTCAATTCAATATCAATTTATTTTCTAAGACTTTCTTATATATCAATTAAGAAGTTTCAGAAGAGGAGTTTCTTTAACTGTAAAAACGTTACAAGCCCTTCGACAGGCAAAATATAACTACACTATGAAAGATATCGATGGTTGTAGTGAATATATACACGTATTAATTTACATAAATATAAAAGAGGCATGCAAATGAACAATTTAACTATTTGTAAAAATGAAAAGTACGAAATAAAATAAAAATCCTAGAGGGTAATTCAAGAAATGCAAAAACATCAGCTGAAGGAAAAAGAGAATACCAACGAGGCAGATATATGACTGCAATGGATATTCAACTATATAACTAAATATATCTAAGTAACTATTACGGGTGAATTTATATTTATGTAAATTAATACGTGTATATATTCACTACAACCATCGATATCTTTCATAGTGTAGTTATATTTTGCCTGTCGAAAGGCTTTTGCCCGAAAGCTTGTAACGTTTTTACAATTAAAGAAACTCATCTTCTGAAACTTCTTAATTGATATACCTTACTGGAAGAGTCTTTAACCTTTAACTTTCTTATATATATGAAAAATATTTCAAAATATAAAAAGGTGTGGATATTTAAAACAAAAAAGGTATATGCTGACCGCGCTCATTAGCCACAACATCAGTTTGGGCAATTTCAGACAAATATTCAACCTATATACCATGGTTTTAGGATTTGGCGATCATCAGTACAGGAGAGAATGGCTTTGATTTCATAACATTCAAATAATTTAATAAACAAGTGTGGGGGGTCGGTGGAAGGCTGGTTAAACCGTTTGGTTTTCGACCACTACGACCCGGGTTCGATTCCCGCATTGGACACTTTTTCTGTTAAAAAAAATGCTCCAATGGCCCCCGATTCTTGCAAAAGTCCAACTCCACCAGCGAGTGCAAGTAACCAAACGGGGCTCTGGCACATTTGTAAGTGCAAAGTCGAACTGCTTTTCAAATGTGTAGACATGTGGTGCGCTTACAGTAAAAAAGCAGTCGCTAACTACCCACCATGATTATCATGGCCTGTACCACGTTTACTAGGGATAAACAAAAAAAAATAATAATAAAATAAAAAATTAAACAAGTGTTCATAATGGTGAAGTGGCGAAGGCCGATTTTCAGGCTCGAATACAACATGCGGAGGTATGACATTCATATGCCTAGAGGGACACCTCTTTCTTCAATTATGCATCAAAACGATAACAGTTAATTCCTCTAGTGGAAACCTAATCAAAGGGTAAGGTGCGTCTTTACGTACGTGAATATCATCCTCCCACAACTTTGTTATAACAATTATATGTAGAATGATTTACTCGTAAGACAACAATTTATGAAGCCCTCTCAACCAAATATTTGTAGATTTACAATTTTAAACTTCTTACATATATTTAAGGATACAATTTTTACCTCTCTATTGATTTTATTTAATTTTTTCTTCTTGCTTGTTTTACCACCAAAATTGATTTATACGTTCAAAATTACGTTTTTTATAGATAACCTAAAACACTAATCATATATACAGAAAAGCATTATGAGAGTATATACGGAGACATATTATTCAAATGTTTATTTCTTATCGATATATATAAACCATTAATCTATATATATAAAAGTCAATTTCTGTCTGTCTGTTTCGCGATAAACTCAAAAACTACTGAACCAATTGTAACCAAATTTTGCATGTCGCTTTTTATAAACCTGAGGAAAATTATCGGCTGCATTTTGATTAGTATTTTTGGCTATTTCTTTTTTTCATTTGAAGAACTTTTTTTTACGCGGACTAATCCGGAATGGAATGAATACCTAAATATGGCCATTTGGTAGAATGCTCGCCTGCCACGCGGGCGGCCCGGGTTCGATTCCCGGCCGATGCATTTCTTTTTTACAATTTTTAAAACTCATTTATATTATATATAATATAAATATATATTATTATATCAACTATATTAATTAAATCAAATACCTAAACACTAATATAATACACTTTTTGCCATCACACACACTTTTTTTCCTGTAGTTTATGTGTTACTTCTGTATTGCTATTCTATGGCACTTCTAATATTTATTATTGATATACTTTTAGAATGAAGGAAATTGCACCCAAGGGATTTCTCGGGCGAAGCCGGGTCATTCGCCTAGTTATATATAAATATGAATTTATGGTGATTATTCTAAGGTGTCATCATGAGTTTAGGTAAATATAGTTTAAACGAAATATCTTCAATAAAACCACCTTTCTCGTCAAAGAAGACGTGCACTATCTTTTGACAGTCTTTGCAATTCTAAAAATAGGGGTCAATTATAATGCTGCGACATCATTGGAAATTTGGAATTCGCATCTGAAGACTATGGCCCTCTTTAGTCAAGGGGTCATTATCTATTATTAAGAATTAGTCAAAGAGGTGTTTAGATAGCTAAGTGGTCGAACCACTTCCCCAGAAAAATGCAGATGGCAATTCTGCAAGAAGGAAAACTGCTATCAAATGAAAATACCATGATTATTAAAAAAAACGAGGAGGTGTTCCAATTTTCAAAACATGGTATCGTGGCTTAGTCATTAACCTGTGTCCATAGATGAGGTAACAGATAGGCAAGCTTTTTACTTATGGGAGAAATATTTTTTTCTTTAGGATTGTGTTTACGCTTTCTTCTCAAAATTACCGCATTTTAAATATACCTATTAAATTACTGTAATTCCTTGAAAGTAGTTTATAAAACTAATTAGTTAACAATTTGAGACTATGCAAATTAAATGAAATTACGCTTATTTGACTTAGAGATTCTAGGGAATCATTTCAATATAATCACCATATGACTCAACAGTTATAATATATCACCCTGTGCAAGTTCCTACTGCCTGCAATATAATGGGTTAATGGACCATTGGATACTTGCTGATAGGGTGGATTACTCCAGAGTTTCTTAGCGTTAAAATTGCAATGTTCTTAATTCATATTTAATTCAAATTACATAAATTCAGGGGCTGCACGAATTACCTTACAATCTTCATATTACCAATAAACTATTTAAATAACCTGAAAAATATTTATATATTATAGGCTTAAATTATGTAATTTACTCTGGATCAGCAATTCAAAAATAAATAATTATAGGTATGCCTCAATATTTTATAACTAGCCGAGTGACCCGGGCAACGCCCCGGGTTTACTCGAAGGGCCCGCAGGTGAGAAACTATAGGCATTGGTTCCTATGCCTAAAAAATTATTTAAAATGAAAAAAGAAGAAAAATACTAACAAATCAGAAAATAAAAGTGCAAACAACACATCTACACTACTTCAAGAACATGAGAGCACATGCACTGTGTAACCATACGTGTACCATTCGTAAAGACCCTGCTTAGGATTAAAATATCTCCGAAGCATAACAATACAACCAACTCATGTTTGCTAAGCAATTTCAGGAAAGAAACTATAGGCATTAGTTGAAGAGTTTAAATAAATATATTTTGAGTGAAAAAATGACACAAATCAGCAAATAAAATTGCAAAAAATGCTACTATATCGCAGATAAGACAACATATAAAAGGAATGAAAATATTTAAAGGACCTCATTAAAACTACATTTCTAGTTTTATATATACAATATAACCTCGATAATTCGACCATGTTTTGTTGTCTTGACCTACAGCCTATCATATAACAAAGTGTAATTCAACACTATCGATAATTCGACCATTTTAAATTTCAACAATTGTTTGTTGCTCAAATATAACTTCACTGCTAAAAAGGTATTACAGAGAAAATGGCTGACATTGTAAATGTACAAAATGTATGTATAGAGCAGGGGAATAATAAATAAAGACCAAAATCAAATTAATTGATAATAAATAGATTATTGCCAAAAAAAAAATGCAAAAAATATTTTTTTCTCCTTTCTTATCTTCACTCAATCATATTAGAGTGTCAAGCTTGTAAAGCTTGAAATTAACAACCATCACGATTGGGTGAAGTAGAATGCGTCTGCCTTTGTCATCAAGACTGGGAGCACTACTCAGTGGCAGGCCACTGACTTAGCTCCAAAAGAATGTATCCCTGGATTAGGAGCCCTTACAAGGTACTATCAGCCGGGCCAGCTGAGCCCAGGTTTTTTTAGTGAGCTTGTTACTGCTCCCCCTCCTCCTTTTTCATCCTGGCTTGGGACCGGCAAAGGCGGAGTTTTTTTTCTTTCAGGTGAGAAACTTTAGGCATTGGTGAAAAGTGTAAATATATATTCTGGAAATTAAAAAAAGGATAAAATAAATCAGAATATAAATTTACAAACTATATTTCAGAGGAGACGATTTATAATAGGAATTCATTTAAATGACCTCATTAAAAACTACATTTTATATATACTTGGGTTCAACTTTACATGTATGCTATCCAAAGTTCGCACACTTGAAAAAGTCACATAAAGTCGTCTGTGCGTAAACACAGGCTCTTGTAGCAAAGGTTTGGCCTTGAGCCCTCTTTATAGTCATATATTTCAGACATTATACAGTGTGTTCAACTTTGGGTACTGTCAGTATATGTGCTTCAAGGACATGAGAGCACATGCGCTAGAACACCATACCTGTTCCATCGCAAAGATCCTATAGGCATTGGTGAAAGTGTAAATAAATATTTTGGAAATGAAAAAAAATTGCAGATATGACAACATATTAAAGGAATAAATTCATTTAAAAGACCTCATTAAAAACAACAATTCTATATTTTTATATATACAATATAATCTAATTAATTCAACACACGATAATTCGACCATTTTTGGATGTCTCGACCTACGGCCTATCATATGACAAACTAATTCGACACTTTCGATAATTCAACTATTTTGGAAAATCAAATTTCAACAGTTGATATTTGTCTAAAACCCCTATTATTAACTACATATTAGACTGCAGAGTGCAAAAATGTAGAAAAGTGTATGTATATAATTGTATGCATATATTTGTATTTGTATTTTGTATTTGGCCTTGAGCCCTCTTTATAGTCATATATTTCAGACATTATACAGTGTGTTCAACTTTGGGTACTGTCAGTATATGTGCTTCAAGGACATGAGAGCACATGCGCTAGAACACCATACCTGTTCCATCGCAAAGATCCTATAGGCATTGGTGAAAGTGTAAATAAATATTTTGGAAATGAAAAAAAATTGCAGATATGACAACATATTAAAGGAATAAATTCATTTTAAAGACCTCATTAAAAACATAAAGTCGTCTGTGCGTAAACACAGGCTCTTGTAGCAAAGGTTTGGCCTTGAGCCCTCTTTATAGTCATATATTTTAGACATTATACAGTGTGTTCAACTTTGGGTACTGTCAGTATATGTGCTTCAAGGACATGAGAGCACATGCGCTAGAACACCATACCTGTTCCATCGCAAAGATCCTATAGGCATTGGTGAAAGTGTAAATAAATATTTTGGAAATGAAAAAAAATTGCAGATATGACAACATATTAAAGGAATAAATTCATTTAAAAGACCTCATTAAAAACAACAATTCTATATTTTTATATATACAATATAATCTAATTAATTCAACACACGATAATTCGACCATTTTTGGATGTCTCGACCTACGGCCTATCATATGACAAACTAATTCGAAACTTTCGATAATTCAACTATTTTGGAAAATCAAATTTCAACAGTTGATATTTGTCTAAAACCCCTATTATTAACAACATATTAGACTGCAGAGTGCAAAAATGTAGAAAAGTGTATGTATATAATTGTATGCATATATTTGTATTTGTATTTTGTATTTGGCCTTGAGCCCTCTTTATAGTCATATATTTTAGACATTATACAGTGTGTTCAACTTTGGGTACTGTCAGTATATGTGCTTCAAGGACATGAGAGCACATGCGCTAGAACACCATACCTGTTCCATCGCAAAGATCCTATAGGCATTGGTGAAAGTGTAAATAAATATTTTGGAAATGAAAAAAAATTGCAGATATGACAACATATTAAAGGAATAAATTCATTTAAAAGACCTCATTAAAAACAACAATTCTATATTTTTATATATACAATATAATCTAATTAATTCAACACACGATAATTCGACCATTTTTGGATGTCTCGACCTACGGCCTATCATATGACAAACTAATTCGACACTTTCGATAATTCAACTATTTTGGAAAATCAAATTTCAACAGTTGATATTTGTCTAAAACCCCTATTATTAACAACATATTAGACTGCAGAGTGCAAAAATGTAGAAAAGTGTATGTATATAATTGTATGCATATATTTGTATTTGTATTTTGTATTTGGCCTTGAGCCCTCTTTATAGTCATATATTTCAGACATTATACAGTGTGTTCAACTTTGTGTACTGTCAGTATATGTGCTTCAAGGACATGAGAAAACATGCGCTAGAAAACCATACCTGTTCCATCGCAAAGATCCTATAGGCATTGGTGAAAGTGTAAATAAAAATTTTGGAAATGAAAAAAAATTGCAGATATGACAACATATTAAAGGAATAAATTCATTTAAAAGACCTCATTAAAAACATAAAGTCGTCTGTGCGTAAACACAGGTTCTTGTAGCAAAGGTTTGGCCTTGAGCCCTCTTTATAGTCATATATTTCAGACATTATACAGTGTGTTCAACTTTGGGTACTGTCAGTATATGTGCTTCAAGAACATGAGAGCACATGCGCTAGAACACCATACCTGTTCCATCGCAAAGATCCTATAGGCATTGGTGAAAGTGTAAATAAATATTTTGGAAATGAAAAAAAATTGCTGATATGACAACATATTAAAGGAATAAATTCATTTAAAAGACCTCATTAAAAACAACAATTCTATATTTTTATATATACAATATAATCTAATTAATTCAACACACGA